AAATAATCTGAAAAGCTGGACTAGATGAAGAAGAGTGTGCATCAGCATTGAAGGAAGGCTCATTAACAACCTGCAATATGCTGATGACACAACTTTGCTTGCTGAAAGTGAGATGACTTGAAGCACTTACTGATGAAGATTGAAGTTTACAGTCTGCAGTATGAATTATACCTCAGAATAAAGAAAACAAAAATCCTCACAACTGGACCAATAAGCAGCATCATGATAAATGAAGAAAAGATTGAAGTTGTAAAGGACTTCATATTACTTGGTTCCACAATCAATGCCAGTGGCAGCAGCAGTCAAGACATCAGATGACATATTGCACTGGGCAAATCTGCTGCAAAAGACCTCTTTCAAACGCTGAAGAGCAAAGATGTCTTCTTGAAGACTAAGGTGTGCCTAACCCAAGCCATGGTATTTTCAATCGCCTCTTTTCCATGTGAGAGCTGGACAATGAATAAGGAAGACCCAAGAAGAGTTGATCGTTTTGAGTTGTGTTGGCAAAGAATGTTCAAAGTAGCGTGGACTGCCAGGAGAAAGAATAAATCTATCCTGGAAGAAGTACAGCCAGAATGCTCCTTGGAAGTGAAAATGGCCAAACTTCTTCTCACCTACTTTGGTCATGTCATCAGAAGGGACTATTCCCTGGAGAAGGATATCATGGTTGGTAAAGTGGAGGGTCAACAAAAAAGGGGAAGGCCCTCAACAAGATGGATGGAGACAGTGGCTGCAACAGTGAGCTCAGGTATAGCAAGGATTGTGAGGATGGCAGAGGACCGGGCAGTGTTCATTCTGTTGTACATAAGATCGCTATGAATCGGAGACGACTTGACGGCACCTAACAACAACAACAAGTGCATTCACGATGTGTGCAACCATCATCACCACCGTCTAGTTTCAGAACTTTTCATCACTCCAAATGGAAACCCGATATCCATTGCACAGTCACTCCCTCCCCACCACCAGTCTTGGACAAGCATTAGTGTGCTTTCTGCCTCTATGGATTTATTTGTTCTGGACCAAAACCAACCAACCAAACAAACTCACTGCCATCAAGTCGGATCCAACTCATAGTGGCCCTTCTGTGGGTTTCCAAGGTGGTGTCACTGCGGAAGTAGATTGCCCAACCTTCCTTCCGAGGAGTGGCTGGTGGGTTTGAACTGCCAGGCTTCTGGTTAGCAGTCAAATGCCTTAGGCACTATGCCACCAGAGCTCCCTTGTTCTGGAGATACTATATAAATGGACTCAGACAATATGTGGCCTTCAGTATCTGGAGTCCTTCACTTAGTATCAGGTTTTCAAGGTTGGTTCCCAAGGTGGTGTGATTCATATATTCCATTCATGTGCTCTTCAGGGAGAAAAAATAAAAAGTGTGCTGATCACATAGAAGTGTCTTGCACATTCCTTCATGAATTTAGTGGTAAGATTCCTTCACCAAGAGTAGAAGAATAATTACTCCTATTAGGCACATGGCCTAAATAAACTCCAAAGCTTCATTGTCATTTAGTCAGTTCAGTCTCATAACAACCCCCCTTGGATTTCCAAGGCTGTAAATCTTTATAGAAGTAGATTGCCTCATCTTCCTCCCACAGAGCAGCTTATGGGTTTGAACCACTGACCTTCTGGTTAGCAGCCAAATGTCTTACCCACTACTGCACCACCAGAGCTCCTTGGTGGCCTAGATTGTCATTGAAATTAGAAGGCGTATTTCTCCAATTTAAAGGGATGATGTTGGTTGGCCAGGAGCTTGGGCCATTGGGCCAATGCCATTTGTCACATCTCCCCGGAAGCCTAACTCTTACACGCTTTTGGCATATTGTTTTTAATGCTGAACCTAGACGGCCTATTCATCTGCAAAATGAAAACCTGAAATCATTCCTGTGAAAGAGAAAATATAAGTGCCGTGGCTCGATTGATGACCAGGGAATCAGTCTGACCCACGCAGCCTTCATGGGGAGGCTCTGCCCTGCACTGTGATTCCTGGTCATTAGCATTTTAACCCCTGTGCTCCCCACCTCCCACCCCTGCACCATAGTCTTTTCACCTTCAGCCTTTTAGCCCCACCATCATTCTTGACACTGATCATCATGTGGCTGTGTGTGTCCTCTTGTCATGACAGGCCATCACGGAGGCGCAGGGCTCTTGGCGACACTGGGAACGTGACAGTGGCTGTCCCCACGATTCCGGGTTTCCCCAACATCTCCTCAACCAGCGTGCCCACCAGCCCAGCAGAGCAGCGGCCTTTTGAGAAAGTGGTAAACAAGGAATCTCTGGTCATCTCTGGTCTGCGCCATTTCACGGGCTATCGCATTGAACTGCAGGCTTGCAACCAAGATGCCCCGGAGGAAAGGTGTAGCGTGGCAGCATACGTCAGTGCCAGAACCATGCCTGAAGGTGGGTCTGCATGCCCCATTGGCGCACCACTGGGCGGGAGGTGCTCCCCACTCCAGGCCGTGTGTCTGTCGACTTTAACTCATGCACCTTTCTTAGTTTTAATGATGTGAGTCATACATGGCCATATATAAGCTTTAGAAAATGCACACAAAAAGTGAGAATAAAATAAAATGAAGAAGTACATGTAAGCAAGAAGAAAAATAAAATTTATTTACCCCTACATCCCTGAGGGAAGCCTTTGGTGTATTCTCCCAGAACTACCTTTTGTAAAAGATTATGTATACGTAACTGGATGTACATGTATTTCCTAAAATGGGACTGAGGGAGCCCTGTTAGCCTTTTGGTGTATAATTGTCCAGAACTTTTCCTTTTGTAAAAACGTGTATACTTAGGTCTTAGTCTCCTCCTGCTGCTGTAACAAAAATGCCACAAGTGAGCGGTTTTAAAGCTGTGATTTTCTCACAGCTCTGGAGACTAAATGTCCAAATCAGGGTCTTGGCCGTGTCGATTCCTTCCTTGTAGGTTGTTATGGCCCTTCCCTGGTTCCTTACCTTGTAGCCATCCTCAGTGGTGTCTGTCTTCTGTGTGTGTCTGTGTCTCTGTGCATGTATCTAACCTGCTCTTTGTGTAACTCAGAAGTGATTAGATTTAGAACCCACCCTGCTCAACTGTGATCTGATTAACATAACAATGAAACCCTATTTCCAAACAGGATCCCATCCATGGGCATAGGAGTTAGGATTCCAACATATATTTTGGGGGGACACAGTTTAATCCATAACACTGACACACATGGGAGATCTGGTGGTGTAGTGCCTAAGGCATTTGACTGCTAACCAGAAGGCTGGAGGTTCAAACCCACCAGCCACTCCTCAGAAGGAAGGTTGGGCAATCTACTTCCGTAGAGATACCACCTTGAAAATCCAAGGAGGGATCGCTGAGTCAAATCAACTCAACGGCAGTGAGTTTGGTTTGGTTTGGTTACATACATACTTACACACATACACACATATGTGCTAAAATGAGATTGAGATAAATCCATTAGCCTTTCACTTTATATTCTTACAGAACCTTCTTTTTATAAAAACACTTAGACCTCCATACTTAGTCTCATTCATATTTAGTAAAATGGGACTGAGATAAGCCCTGTTAGCCTTTAGTTGCAGATCCTCCCAAAACTTTCCTTTTGTAAAAATGCTTCTATACATCTGTTTACCAAAATGGAGTCATACTGTACAGTTTTTAACTCACCCAGTTTGGGGGCACAGAAAGACATATGAATGGCTATAGACAGGCCATTGTTTGATAGTGGGTTTTGTTGCAATAACCCAAAAACAATACCACAATGAGCATCTTTGCTCCAGTCCAGTGACTTCCTTTCATTCTGTCTGTGGATCTGGAAGTGCTTGTTCAAAGGTTACACCCCTCACAGTGTGACCATCTGCTCTTGTCCCCTGGTCCTCCAGAGGCATTGTGTCCATTTACCTGGGCTGACCAGTAGTTGGAGGCGCTGCCTTTCTAGAAGCCAGTTGCTATCTATCCCCAGGCCAATGTCTGGACTCTCTTTTTCTTACCTTCAATGATTTTTCCACTGTTTTTGTGCTTTGACACCACACTGTTTAAAACTGTTATCACTTCTCAAATCAATTTTGCTATTGTGTAATTTACAGACAATAAAATGTGCAGATTTTGAGTGCATAGGAAATTCTGTGGATACCACTTACTTGTTAATTTTGACTAAAGCAATGTGGAGATGGCGAGCTAGACCTGATAACCCTCTGAGCCTGTCCCTGTCATGACGCTCCTGTCTCTGTGTCTGTGCTTTCCTCCAACAACAGTGAGGACAGTGATTAGATTTTGAGCACTTCCTATGTATCATCCACATGCAAGGTGCTTTTCATATAATCAAACCAAACCAAACAAACCAGCTGCTGGCCAGTCAGCCCCTGACCCCAATGCCATGTGTGTCAGAGTAGAACTGTGCTCTGTAGGGGTTTCATTGGCTGATTTTTCAGAAGTAGATCTCCAGGCCTTTCCTCCGAGGCACTTCAGAATGGATTTGAACCACCAACCTTTTGGGTAGCAGTTGAGCACGTTAACAGTTTATACTACCCAGGGACTCCTTTCATAAAATAATCTGTTTAAATCCAAATAAGGCCTGTGATCTAATCAGTAGCTGTGCACCAACTGAAATGGGATCAGTTTCTCGTTTTTGATGACATATTTATGTTACTATTGTTATCATTGGGGAGAGCTGGGTGAGGAGTACACAAAATCTTTTATTGATTGATTGATTTTAATTCAGGTGAAAGCCACATGACAAAATTGTTTTAAGTGGAACAATTCAGTGGCATTTTGAACATCCACTGTGTTGTGTACCCATCAGCACTATCTAATTCCAGAATAAAAGATGAAACTCTGTGCCCATCAGTAGTTGCTCCCCATTTCCTGCTGCCTTCAAGCCTTAGGCAACGACTAAGCTACTGTCTCTATGCATCTCCCTATTCTGGACATTGCATAGAAGTGGAATCATACAATACCTGGCTTTTGTCTGGCTTCTTTCACTTAGCATAATGTTTTCAAGGTTCATCCACACTATGGCATGTATTAGAACATCATTCCACTTATTACTGAGTAACATTCTATTGTATGGATAGACCAGCATATTTTATCCATTGAGGGACATTTGGGTTGTCACTGTACTATTTTTATATCTCGTGAGTCTAAAGTTATTTCAACAGAAAAAAAATGTGTGAACAACTCATTTTTTTTTTTTTATGTTCATTCTCTGAAACCAGCTGAAGTTTACTCTGCTGGCAAGTAGTGGGGCTGGGAATTGACCCAGGTTTCAGTCATATCCTCATTGCTAACCACTGCTCCCTGCTATTTACAGCCAAGGCTGATGACATTGTTGGTCCAGTGACCCACGAAATCTTGGAGAACAATATTGTTCACTTGATGTGGCAGGAGCCAAAGGAACCCAACGGTCTCATCGTGCTGTACGAAGTGAGTTATCGGCGATACGGTGACGAGGTAAGGCTCTTGATGCTTAGACATGCGCCTTCAAAACTGTCCTTGGTGCTTTTATTCCTCTGCTAAAAATTTGTCCCAGACACTCCCAAAGCAGGCTTGTTAGATGCTTTGTCATTGGGATGTAGAGGTTTGATCCACACTTTCCACAAAGATGGGTCAAATATGGGAACCTACAAATTTTTATTTTTCAACTCTGTCCTACAAGTTGGCTGAGAGCTCCCAACATTCCTTTCTGACCTGACTGGCTCACTTTGCTGTAGAGAGAGTTGTCTGTGTCTGGGAATAAATAACTGGAAGCCTTTATATGTGACCTTTTGTTGGGTGCTCCTTTGAGAAGGTGCTAGACACTGTACAGGCTGCTGAGCAAACATAGAGATGAACAAGTGACAGAGTCTAATAAAAAGAACAAAAAGTACTCCACTGTTAACCAAAAGGTTGGTGGTTTGATCAAAACTCAAAATCATAAAAAAGACCAGGCTTACTGATCTGATAGAGACTGGTGAAACCTCTGAAAAAAAAAGGTATTTGCAATGAATAAGTCATTGGTCTTGCAAAATTCTATCATGCAATCTCCAGTGTCATTTCTTTCATCAAGGGCATTTCCAACTACAGATGCTTCTTTGTTTCTGACTTTCATATTCCAGTCACCAGTAATAATCAATACATCTTGATTGCATGTTTGTTCTATTTCAGACTGCAGAGTTGGAAAAAATTTTCAATTTCTTCATCTTTTGTTTTGGTGGTTAAATTTGGTGCATAAATTTGGATAATAGTCATGTTAATTGGTCTTCCTTGTAGGCATGTGGATATTATCATATCACTGACAGCATAGTACTTCAGGATAGATCTTGAAACATTATTTGTGATGATAAATGTCACACCATTCCTCTTCAATTTGTCATTCCCAGCAGTGTAGACCATATGATTGTCTAATCCAAAATGGCCAATACCAGTCCATTTCAGCTCACTAATTCCTCGGAAGAAGGTAGGGCAATCTACTTCCACAGTGATACTGCCTTGGAAACCCAAGGAGGGGTCGCTATGAGTCGGGTCCAACTCAATGGCACATAACAACAACAGTGCCTAAGATATCGATAATTTTTGACAACTTCCAATTTTCCTAGATTCATACTTTGTACATTCCATGTTCCAGTTATTAATGGATGTTTACAGCTATTTCTTCTCATTTTGAGTCATGTCACATCAGCAAATGGGGATCCCAAACGCTTTACTCCATCTACATCATTAAAGTCGACTCAACTTTGAAGAGGCAGCTCTTCCCCAGTTGTATTTTGAGAGCCTTCTAACCTAAGGGACTCATCTTCTGACACTGTATCAGACTGTTTCACTGCCATTCATGAGGTTTCCAGTGGCTAGTTTTTCAGAAGTGGATGGCTTCGTCCTTCTTCCCAATCTGTCTTAATCTGGAAACTCTGCTGAATCCTGTCCACCATGGATGACCCTGCCAGTATTCAAAATGCCAGTAGCATAGCCTCCAGCCTCACAGCAACATGCAACCCACCCACCATACCACAAACTGACAGATTGGTGGTGGTGGTGGTGGTGGTGGTGGTGATAGTGGTGTTAGATGCTATCAAGTCAATTCTGACTCTTGGCAATCTCGTGTGCTCAACTACTAATTGAAAGGTTGGTGGTTCAAATCTGCCAGAGGCTCCTCAGAAGACAGGCTTGACAGTCTGCTTCTAAAAGGTCATAGCCTGAAAAAGCCTGTGAAGCAGTTTGATTCTGCACACATGGGATCACTATCCTATCTCTACTGGAGGATAAACATTTACTTGGTAAAATTATGAGAACTTTTATGTTTAAACTTCTTCTTGGTCAAATATGACATTTGCATTTTTAAAAAGTGGAAATGTCTTGCTTTTGGGGACTAATGCTTTTCCTTATGGTTGGATGCAGGCTATACATCCAGTTCAGAATGTTCCATAAGAGATGCTGTTTTTTCTCAGCACATCACATCTGAAAGGAGATTCCATATGAATATTATATATGTGTGTGTGTGTGTTATTCTTAGGTACTGTCGAGTCAACACCATGTGACAAAGCAGAACTGCCCCAGAGGATTTTCTGGGCTGTAATCTTCACGGATAGATTGCTAGGTTTTTCTCCTATGACACAGCCTTGCTTGCTGAAAGTGAGAGGACTTGAAATACTTATTGATGAAGATCAAAGAATACAGTCTTCAGTATGAATTACACCTCAACACCAAGGAAACAAAAAATCCTCACAACTGGCCAGTAAACAACTTCATGATAAGTGGAGAAAAGATTAAAGTTGTCAGGGATTTCATTTTACTTGGGTCCACAATCAACACCCATGGAAACAGTGGTTAAGAAATCAGATGACATATTGCATTGGGAAAATCTGCTGCAAAAGACCTCTTTAAAGTGCTGAAGAGCAAATATGTCACCTTGAAGACCAAGGTGCACCTAACCCAAGCCATGGTATTTTCAATCGCCTCGTATACATGTGAGGAGCTCTGGTAGCGTAATGGCTAAGGCACTTGACTGCTAACCAGAAGGCTGGTGGTTCAAACCCACCAGCCACTCCTTGGAAGGAAGATGGGGCAATCTACTTCCATAATGATACTGCCTCGGAAACCCAAGGTGGGGTCGCTATGAGTCGGGTCCAACTTGACGGCACATAACAACAACAACCACAGCAACAACATATGCATGTGGGAGCTGGACAATGAATAAGGAAAACTGAAGAAGAATTGATGCCTTTGAATTGTGTTGGCAAAGAATACTGAAAACACCATGGACTGCCAGGAGACCGAACAAATCTGTCCTGGAAGAAGTGCAGCCAAAATTCTCCTTGGAAATGCGAATGGCCAGACTTGGTCTCACCTACTTTGAAGGGACCATTCCCTGGAGAAGGATATCATGCTTGGGTAAAGTAGAGGGTCAGAGAAAAAAGGAGAAGACTGTCAACAAGATGGATTGACATAGTGGCTGCAGTGATGGGCTCAAATATAGCAAGGATTGTGAGGATGGTGAAGGACCAGGCAGGGTCTCATTCTGTTGTACACAGGGTTGCTATGAGTTGGAATTGACTCGTGGCACCCAACAACAACGACAGGATAAAGTTAAATTTTAATTCATCCAATTTGATCTAAGATTCTATAGAAGAATACTGATCAAAAGGGGGAAAATGCAGAACAGAACTCCAAATTCTCATGGACTCCAGACTTTCTGGAGCCATGGAGGTTGGAGGAACCCCTGAAACTATTGGCATCAAAACAAACGCAACCACTGCTATGGAGTCAGACCCGACTCATAGCGACCCTCCTTGGGTTTCGGAGGCAGTGTCAATACAGAAATAGATTGCCCAACCTTCCTTCCATGGAGTGGCTGGTGGGTTTGAACCACCAGCCTTCTGGTTAGCAGTCAAATGCCTTAGACATCATCAGACAATCTTTAAATCTTAAACCAAAAATATCCCCTGGAATCTTAAAACCAAGCAACAGTTCATCTGAACTAGTGAAGAATATCTACCTTGAGCAGTGTTGTCTAAAAACTATCCATATGAGATCACATTGACAATGGCAACTCAGTAGGTTAGATGGGAAGCTTGTGGGGGCGGGGGCAGTGAGTTGATATTAATGCAGGAGGAACAATTTGAAAAAGGAGGGTAAGAATGGCTGCACAACTGGGAAAATGTAATCCGTGTGCCTGGGCTCCACATGTACGTGTAGAAATGGTTGCATTGGTGTATTTTGTGCTGTGTGTACTCTCAACAACAGCAAAACTAATTTTTTAAAAAAGAGCAAACTAAAAATTTTAATTTGTCACTGTTCCCATTAAAGAAGGTGGATTTCAAAAACACAATGAGGACCAGAATTACTGGTCAGATGGAATCTGGTGAGACCCCCAATAATATGGCCAAGGGATACACTTTGGGCCTGGAATAAAACTCACTCCCAGGGGCTGGCTCTCAGCGCAATAATAAACAAGATGTACACACAGGCCACTCAACCCAGGGTGATGCACCCACTTACTCTATGGAGATGCACCCCTTGGAGCAGTCGACCACAGGGCACCAGAGGGGCAACATTCGCACAGAGGAAATGCTGGACGCACTGTACTAACTATGAGGGCCACGGGGTGGGGGAGGTTACTGGGAAGGGAGAGGAGGAGAGTGTGTTGGGGGATGGAGATGGTAATTGGGAAGTGAAACCAAAAGTACCTGAAATGTGGAATGTAAAACAAACTAAAAAAAAAAAAAAAAAGGTAGAATTATAAAGTATGAATTTTTAAAGTTTTAGCATACCAAAGATTTCATGATAGTGTGTTGTAACAAATCAAACCAACTTAAGTAGATTATAGGAAGAAAAGATTTTTTTAACAAAGCACATTGGAAACCTAAACCTAGTTTCCTCTTTTTTTCCTTAAGTCCATTACGGAATACCTCCCCTTCCTTCTCCCCTTGCCCCAGCTCCTGGTAACCAAGGGTCTCCTTCGGTGTTTGGGCTCTGGCTTATCCTAGATATTTCACCCGAGCAAGCTCATTCAATGTTTGTCCCTTTGGGTTTGTTTATTTCCACGAACATAATGTTTGCAGGGTGCACCCATGTCGCTGCATGTGGCATGCTTGCGCAGCCTTTGATGTGACTGGCATCTGAACCTTGGTCAGGGTTTGACTCTTGTTTGCTTTTGGTGTCTATTAAGAGCACTTCACCGGCCCCTGTTCCGGCCATCCTGGTCCCTTCCTGGCCCCACCCTCGAGGGATCTCCGCTTTCCTCTTGTCCCAGATAGCTGCTACCTTTGGTTTCTATAGTTGCTTGTTTGTCCCTCTCTGCTTGGTGACTCAGGCGACTTGAAAGAACCTTTCTTTGGACTTGTGTCCTCACCCCTGACCTGTGCCAGCCGGTTTGTTTGCTAACTGTTATTGTCACATGAGGAGCCTGGCAGTTTTCACATTTCTCTCTTGCCGCCCACCCACACCCCCCTGCCCTCACCACCACCACCCACCCCTACTAAAATTTTCCAGCTCAGTTCACTGCATGCACTGTTGGTTTGGGGTCATTTTGGAAAGTTTTCAGAATTGCAGCTTGACGCTTACAGGTTTCAGTTTTGTTCTCAACCGAGCCTCGAGCCTGGAGCCTCGGGTCTCGAGCGAGCGTTGCGTTGGGTCTCCCTAATCAGCTCTGGGTTTGTCTCTAGTTCCCTGTTTATTGCAGGGAGTGTGCACCCTGCTTCATCTCTCTCTCCTCTTCTTGCCAGACTTTGAGGTGGATCCCAACTGTTTGTTTTTTTTTAATGTGGTAGAATATATATATTTATATACATATATATTAACATAAAACAAAAACAGTAGCCATTTAACCATTCTTAAGTGTACAGTCTAACAACATTAATCAGTCACCATATTGCGTAGCTATCACCACCCCCTATTTCCAAGTGCCTCTTCCCTGCAAACAGACACGTGGGGCCATTAAGCTGTACTGCCCTTCCCCGCCCTCCCATGTGTGGTAACCACTGATAAACCTTCTGCCTACGTGCATCTGCCTGTTCTAGAGATTTCACATAAGTGGGAGCAGACACCGTTTGCTCTTTTCTGTCTTATTTCACCCAGCATGCTGTTTTCAAGGTTCATCCATGTTATAGCATGTGTGAGGACTTCTCTCCTCTTTACAGCTCAGTAATATTCCACTCTGTGTATAGACCACACTGCGTTTATTTATTTAGTTGTTGATGAACACTTGGGCTGTTGTTCTGAGGTGCCATTGAGTCGGCTCTGACTCATGGCGACCCTGGCGTAACAGAACAAAGCGCCGCCCGGTCCTGCGCCAGCCCCACAGTCACTGCTGTGTCTGAGCCCATCGTGGCAGCCACCGTGTCAGTCCATCTCCTTGAGGGTCTTTCCCTCTTTTGCCGACCCTCCATTTTACCCAGCATGACATCCTTCTCCAGGGAATGGTCCCCTTCTGACCAAAGCATGAGAGACAAAGCCTTACCATCCTCCCTTCTAAGAAGCCTTCCAGCTGTACTTCTTCCAAGACAGACTTGTTCGTGTTTCTGCCAGTCCACTTGGGCACTTCCCACCTTTTGGCCATTGTGAATAGTACTGCCGTGAACACTGGGGTACAGGTGAATCCTGAGGATAATTTTTAAAACAATCAGAAGGCAGCACCATGGGAAGGAAAACCCCAACCCGAGCAGCTGCTGCCAAGTGGCCTCCAATTCCCGGCTCCCTGTGTGTGCCAGTAGCTCTGTGCTCCACAGGGTTTTTCCTTTTATTTTCAATAATACTTTATTGTGTTTTGATGAAAGTTTAACAGCAAAGCACGTTCCCATTTAACAATGATGACACAGAGTTCAGTGCTATCGGTTACATTTTTCTCAATGTGCCGACACTCTCGTTCATTCTTTCTGCGTGTTTCATTTCCAGTCGCCTGGTTTCCCTGCCACCTGACCCCTTTCATCTTTGCTCCCAAGTAATTGTTGACCGTTTGGTTTCATACGGACGATTTGTTAAGGATGCACAGGACTCGTGGGTACTCTCTTTTAGGAGTAGATCTATTATTTGGTTAAAAACCGGAACTAAAAGAACAGTGATGCCGGGGGTGGTTTGGGGTCAAGGTGTAAAGAGTAGTGTTAGGGGCTCTTCCAGTCCCAGCCAGGTCAGTGAGTCTGGACTTTTTAAGGATTTGAGCTCTGCTCCCCATTTCCCCCAATTCTACCTGATAGAATCTGTGGCCCTGTTCAGAACTGTCAGTGGTGGTAGCCGGGTATCACCTGGTTCTTCTGGTCTCAGTGTAGACAAGGCCGTGGTTTGTTCCTAAGGTTTTCAATGGCTGATTTTTTTTTTTTTTTTCCAAAGGTTTGCCTGCTCTTGTGTGGGAGTTAGGGAATTGTCTTTTCATTCTTTCTTCTATAACAACAATTAAGAAATCAGAAACTGGTATCTTCATAGATATCAGAATACAAGAATCTTCTTCTCCAGGATATCTCTGTGTACACACAACCATAGTATAAAGTAGAATAAGATTGTCTGATCATTGAATGTTCAATGGCTGATTTTGTTAGAAGTAGGCCTTTCTTCCAAGGCATCCCTGAGTAGGTTTGAACCGCCAGCCTCCCAGTCAGTAGCCAAGTACTTAACTGTGCCGCACAGGGACTCTGCTGGGAAAGGAGCTTTTTACTTGTCCTTAGGCATGAAGCCCCTTGGACCCTTTGGTTTGTGATGTGGAAACCACGTGGGTCCCTTGTTTTCCACCTATCTCTAATTTGCTGGAGGCCCACTGTGGATTCAAGGAGAAGCTTTGTGGCTACTTCCCAGCCAGGAGATTTCCGACAAATTGTTTCATCTCCTAAATCAGCAAACTCCTGCCCTTGGGCTGAATCTGGCCTGCCGTCTGCTTTCATACAGCCTGCAAGCTGAGAATCTTTTTTACATTTTAAAATTGTTGCAAAAAAAAATAATAATCAAAAGGTTCTCATGGTATTTCATGCCATGTGAGAATGACCTGAAATGCAGATTTCAGTGTCCATAAAGTTTTATTGGCACAGAGCACAGCCATTCGTTCACAGGTATCATGTCTTATCCATGGCTGCTTTCATGTGATGGTGGAAACGTTGGATAGTTTTGACAGTGACTGGCCCAGTAAGCTCATAGGCCTCATAGCAGGTCGCTATGAGATAGAATCAACTCAGTGGTGGTGGGTTTGGTTTTTGGGCCCAATAAGCTGAAAATATTTGCTCTCTTGTCCTTTACAGAAATAGTTTGGCAGCCTCTATTCTAAGCCTTCTCTGCTGTAATATGAGGATAGAAGGCCTGGTGGTGCAATGATTAAAGTGCTTGACTGCTAACCGGAAGGTCAGTGGTTTGAATCCACCAGGTGCTCTGCAGGAGAAAGAGGAGGCAGTGTGCTTCTGTAAAGATTGACAGCCTTGGAAACCCTATGGGGCATGTCTTGGCTGTCTAGTGCTGCTATAACAGACATACTACAAATGGGTGGCTTTAGCAAACAGGGATTTATTCTCTTACAGTTTTAGAGGCCAGAAGTCCAAGTTAAAGTGCTGCCTCTTGGGGCTGAGTAAAGGCCCCTCGATCTTGGGCTTCAGCTCTGCCTCTTGCTCCTGGCCCACCAGAGCTGGAGGCTTTTTCTGACTCACACAGCTGCTGGCTGCTGAGGCTGGCGAAACCAAGATCAACAAGTAAAATGGCACAGTCCCAAGATGAGCAGACAACACGGCAGGCCACTAGTTCAAGTCCAGGAACAATGCCAAGATCCGCAGGCAATGTGGCGGGCCCCTGAGATGAAGACTCAGCCAAATGTAGGCTCCAGAAGTCTTAGAAGCTTAGAGACCTTTCCCAAAGCTTCTCCATCTCTGCTGGAAGCAGGTCACAGCCTGAAGGCAACCCCCTTACACAGATGAATGTCTCACAGCAGACTCCCCGTGGCGTTGATCACAATCTTATAGGGAAAAATTACAGCCAGCTGCCCAGCCACTCAAAATCACGGCCCAGCCAAGTTGACACACAACCTTAACTACCACAGAGCAATTCCACCCTGTCCTCTAGGGGCGCTGTGAGCTGGAATCGACTCACCAGCAGTGGGTTTGGTTTGGGCTTTGCTTCCATGAAGATTGACACCCTTGGAGACCCTGTGGGGCAGTTCCACTCTGTCTTCTATGCTGTGAGTTGGAGTCGACTCGATGGCAATGCTGCTTCTTTTTTTTTTTTAAATGTGAGGATAAGAATCCCTGGGTGGTGCAACTAGTTAAGCGCCTGACTGCTAACCAAAAGGTTGGCGATCCAACCGTCCAGAGTCACCTTGGAAGAGAGGCTGGCCTGGCTACTTATGGAGCATCACCGCCATTGAATACGCTGTGGAATGCACTTCCAGCTTCACGGCGACGGGGCTTGTTACTGTGAATCAGCCAGTGAAAGCCTCGTGGACCCTGACTGTCTGCTCCGCCACTGATCACGGGGATGACACAGGACCAGGCAGTGTTTCGCTCCCTTGCCCAGGGGTCGCCATGAACCAGGGCTGACTCGGCGGCAGCTAACAGCAACAACAACAATGAGGATAAGAGTACCCAAGCCACAGGGTTGCTGTGAGAAGTCAATGACATGATCTAGGCCAAGAGCCTGGCTCCTGGCACAGGTTTGGCTCCTATCACTAATGTAATGTCTGGGTCTGTCTCCTTATCCACAGAGCAGTGGTTCTTACACAGGGGTCCTGTCTGTGAAAGCTCCACCTGGGAGGAATGTTCCCAAATACACAAGGCACAGCCAGCTTCCTCACACACACACCCTCCCTTGTCTTCCAGGAGCTTCACCTCTGCGTCTCTCGCAGGCATTTTGCCCTGGAGCGGGGCTGCCGGCTGCGAGGGCTGCCCCCAGGCAACTACAGCGTGCGCGTGCGGGCCACTTCCCTGGCAGGCAACGGCTCCTGGACCGAAGCCACCTATTTCTATGTGACAGACTACTGTAAGTCTCCTTGGAAACTTGGGTCAGTGGGGGCTGTGTTTGGCCCTGGAATGGGTTAGGGTAGATTAGAGACTACCAGTGCTGGCCCTGACCTTGACCCTGGGGTCCACCAGCCACTGCTGTGTGAAGGGGGCAAGATCCTGGTTGTCTCTGAGCCTGCATCCCCATCTCCCCATGGGTGTGCTAACAGGACCTGCCCCTGGAAGCTGGGTAGAGGTTTTGATGACATCATGGATGTCAAATGGGACTTGACATTGGAATGGTTTGGGGAAGTTTTCTGAGCTGGCACTGGGGATGGAATCAACATGTTGGTTCCTGTTACTTGTGGATCCATCTCTATTATGAGATGTAGCCTCTCCTCCAAGATGCCCCCCTCAAGCCTTGGGTGGAGCAAACCCTCCAAAGCAGGAAATGTGCCCAGTGTGCAGGCAGCAGGTATTGATGCTGGAAGAGCCCTGTGAGCTGGGGCCAGTGAAGCCAGGAGAGATGGGGCTGAGCTAGTCATGGAAGGCTTCCTGGAGGTAGTGACATCTCAGCTGAGACCTAGAGAACAAACAAAGGAGTAGGGCCGAGGAGGGAGATGGGTCAGTCTAGCATACAACAGCACCCCGGACACTTGAATGAGCAAACACAGAAATGAGTTGGCAGGAGTGAAGATTACAGGTTGGGAGGAGTAGAAGCTGGGGTGCAAGGGGTCAGGCAGCATTTTCCCATGCCGGAGCCTGTGGGAGAGCAGACAGTGGGAAATGAGCTTTGCAGGGGTGGTTGTTCAGGGTCGGAACCAGGGCCGGGCAGGGGAAGCACTCAGGGTTCAGAATGGGAGGAGGCACTCACCTTTGCAGAGAGGCCACCCCTCCAGGGCCCGGAGCAGGCGCTCCCCCTCCAGTTTTGTGCCCTGCATGCCTCACTCACCTCACCCCAGGCGTATGGGGTCTGGGAAGCAGAGAGGAGGGGCAGCAAGGCTCAGCTCTTGCACCCCATGCCCCAGCTTTAGGGATCACTTGGTTCAAACCTCTGAAATCACCCCACCCCTAAGGAAGGAATCAGGGACAAGGGAGGGGCCCATAAGCAAAGCCCGTGGCCAGATGGTTTCATTTATCTTGTCCCATTCAGTCACCACTGCTCACAGGAACAGTCCGTGTGCTGGGAGCTGCCTGAGACAGAATGATGTCGTTTGCTGTTGAGTGAGAAGGACGGGAGAGGACCATTCCTCTGGACGGTGCCCGGTGTGCAAGGCAGTATGGGCCATAGGCAGCATTCACACAGCCAGCCGGGTTCAAATCTGCCCTTGAGTAGCTCTGTGACCTTGGAGAAGACCCCTCCCCTCTCTGAGCCTCCATTCCCCAATCGGAAAACAGGGATTCCTCAGAGTACCTTCCACCATGGTTCAAACCGAAAACCAAACCAGTTGCCTTCAAGTTGATCATGACTCCTGACGGCCCCACGTGTGTGGTGTAGAACAGCTCCATAGGGTCTTCAATTTTTCAGGAGTGAACAGCCAGGCCTTTCTTCTGAGCCACCTCTGGGTGGGTGGAAGCCACCAACCTTTCAGACAGTAGTTGAGCACTTAACTAATTATACCACCCAGGTGCTTGGTCCTTGGCTTATATGACAAGTAAATAAGATCACTGTGGAAAGCACTTGGAACCATGCCTGGTTACTTAGTGAGTGTTCCATAAACTGTTATTTTACTGACTGGAAGAATTGTGTTCACTCTTCAACTCTTCCTTGGCTTTGAAGAGTCTAAGTACCATGGGCATGCCTGTTACAAAAAAAAAAAAACAACTCACTGCCGTCAAATCTGATCTGACTCATAGTGACCCCTCCTTGGGTTTCCAAGGCAGTATCACTATGGAAGTAGATTGCCCAGCCTTCCTTCCGAGGAGTGGCTGGGGGGTTTGAACTGCCAACCCTCTGGTTAGCAGTCAAGTGCCTTAGGCACTATGCCACCAGAGCTCCTGGACATGCCTATACTTAGAGACATTTCAGCCTCATATGTAAATTTTAAAAATTAACAGGCTGTGTAACATTATTCAGCTGCTTTAAAAGGAGTTCCCTGGGAAACTCTCGATTTAGCCTCATCCTGGCAACCTGGACACCCACAGAGCTGTGGTTTGGTGAAATAGTTTTTTAATGGAAATCAAATTCACAGAACGTAAAATTAACCCTTTTCAAGCAAGCATTCATTGGCATCTGGTCCCTTCACGGCATTGTAGCACTGCCCCCTCTTTCTAGTTCCAAAACACTTTCCTCAGCCTAAAATTAAACCGGGCTCCTTGGGTGGTGCACACAGTCCATGCACTTGGCTGCTAACTATAAAGGTTGGCCATTCAAGTCTTCCCAGAGGTGCCTTGGAAGAAAGGCCTGGCTCTTCACTCCTGAAAAATCAGCCATTGAAAACCCCATGGAGCACAGCTCTACTCTGATACACATGGGGTCTCGTGGAGTCAGGAGCGCCTCCATGACAACCGTTTTTTTGGTTGTTGTTTCTTTGTTTTTTTAAATTGAACCTAGTAACCATTAAGCTAAGGTCCTGGGGGATGCAAATGGTTTGCACTTGGCTACACACCGAAAGGTCGGCTACTCAAACCCAGTGGTGCTGCGGAAGAAAGGCCTGGTGATTGCTTCCACAAAGATGACAGCCAAGAAAACCCTGAGGAGCTCAGTTCCACTCTGTGACGCGTGGGGTCGTCATGAGTCGCAGTCGACTCCACTCACAGTGGTTTGGGTTTGGTTTAGCCATGAAACACTCTCGGTCCTCCCCGTTGCCCAGCCCCTGGCAGCTACCAGTCTGCTCTCTGGCTTTTGTGCTGGAAGTTTCCTATAGATGGAATCACATGGTATGTGGTCTTTTGTGTCTAGAACAAAGTTGTTAAGGGGCTGGTCACCCAGTAAGGAGGGCTGGACCGGCCTGAACCCAGAAGATGCTGACTGGCACATTGTTCCCCTGACAGGCGGTGTTAATCAGGACCAGCTACAGAATTTGCAGAGCCCAGGAGCTCTGGTAGCATAGTGCCTAAGGCACTTGACTGCTAACCAGAAGGCTGGCGGTTCAAACCCACCAGCCATTCCTCGGAAGGAAGGTTGGGCAATCTACTTCCGTAGTGATACTGCCTCGGAAACCCAAGGAGGGGTCACTATGAGTTGGGTCCGACTATGGCAAATAACAGCAGTGCAAAAGGAAATTGTGGCACAGTGGTTAAAGCATTCAGCTGCTAACTAAAATGTTGGCAGTTCAAACCCACGAGCCACTCCGTGGGAGAAAGATGACAGCCTTGGGAACCCTGTGGAGCAGTTCTGTTCTGTCCTAGAAGGTCACTATGAGTTGGAACCGACTAGGCGGTACTGGGTTTTTGTTTTGTTTTGTTTTGTTGCTGCTGTTGTTCAGAAAGTATGACGAATTTCCCGGCGGCAGCAGTGGACTGTTACGCTGAGCTGGGGATCCTGGATGGCAGTCAGGTCGTCTGCCTGTAATGTGCCCTGGGTGGGTGGAAAAGGCTGCTGATGGGCCGGGGTCTGGCAGGGGTGCGCTGCTCTGGAATGTGGACTCTCCTGACCCTCAGTGGGCCGTTTCCGGGTTGTGGGAAAATAAGGAGGGAGCAGCAGAGAGAGACCCAGAGACAAGAGCGGGACCAGCGTAACCCACCATCACAGGGGCCCAGACACTCTGGTGCCAGAGACTCCCAGAGTGAACTCATGTTGAAGTAAAACGTATTTTTCTTTTTCTGTTTCAGTGGACGTCCCATCCAACATTGCAAAAATCATCATTGGGCCTCTCATCTTTGTCTTTCTCTTCAGTGTTGTGATTGGGAGTATATATCTGTTCCTGAGAAAGAGGTGAGTGCAGGGGCTTTCTGGAAAAAACGAATGCCCAGGCGGGAGAAAGAGCTGGCAATCTGTGTCCATAAAGATGGCAGCCTACACACCCTAGGGGGCTGTGCTCCTCTGTCCTGTGGGGTTGCTATGAGTCAGAATCGACTTGACAGCACCTACAACAGACAGAGATAAGGGTGAGAATGGTTCATGCAGTTCAGTGCTAATCAAAAGGCTGGAGGTTCGAGTGTACCCAGACGTGCCTCAGAAGAAAACCAAAAAAAAGCAAACTCACTGCCGTTGAGTTAGTTCGACTCATAACGACCCCTCCTTGGGTTTCTGAGGAAGTAGATTGCCCAACCTTCCTTTCGAGGAGTGGCTGGTGGGTTTGAACCGCCAGCCTTCTGGTTAGCAGTCAGATGCCTCAGGCACTATGCCACCAGGGCTCCCCCGGAAGAAAGGCCTGGCAATCTGCTTGCGAAAAAGCCAGCCGCCATTGAAAACTCTCTGGGGCACAGTTCTTCCCTGCCGTAGGTGGGGTCACCAGGAGTTGGAATTGACTTGACAGAACCATGGGGGAGAAAAAGCAACGTGTGAAAGCCACTCACC